GAGAGAGACATCGATGTGAGAGAGACACATCAATTGGTTGCCTCCCACATGCACCCTGACCGAGGCCAGAGATTGAGACTGCAACTGAGGTAGGTGCCCTTGACCAGAATCAAACCCCTCCAGACTGTGGGCCAACACGCTATCCACTGAGCCATACCGGCTAGGGCTTTTTTTTTTAAAACCACCCATTCTTCAGGCTGCTAGAAACCTCCCGATGCCCAAGCAGGTCAGGCCGCCCGTGTGCTGGTCTGTTCCCCCTGTAGGTGCCTTGGCACACCTTCCTGCGATTCCTGGGCAGCAGTCTACCCCACCAGACGTCAGCCCCGCGTGGCAGGACCGCACTGTGCTCTCAGCATTTCTCCAGCGGCCCCGCGCGTGCTTGGGGCTGGCATTTGTGGAAAGGATGAGTGCGCAGTGAATGAAGGTACGAAAAGAGGAAGGAATCCTGCAAAGCCCAATGCAGGGGTGGGAGGAGGTGGGTCAGCAGCCCTTCAGGTCCCCTGTTAGCACCCTCTGGCCACAGCTCATGATCTTTGCTCAACGACCCGGGAACTGGGCATTCAGAGCATCTAACACGTGCCAGGCACCCAGCTGGGCATGTCTCATGGATTCCCACCCGTCAAATAACAAACAGGGACGAGATGGAATATTTTCCGTGAACAACAGCTTGGAGGCTTCTATCCCTGCCCAGAATACTTTGCAGGTTTGTCTAGGCCAGCGGTTCTCAACCTGTGGGTCGCGACCCCTTTGGGGGGTCGAAGGACCCTTTCACAGGGGTCGCCTGAGACCATCAGAAAACACATACATAATTACATATTGTTTTTGTGATTAATCACTATGTTTTCATTATGTTCAACTTGTAACAATGAAACTGGGGGTCACCACAACATGAGGAACTGCATTAAAGGGTCGCGGCATTGGGAAGGTTGAGAACCACTGGTCTAGGCCTTTGAAACCGGGCTATGCGGGCCCTGAGCGCTCACAGACTCCCCCTGTTTGGGACTCCGGCTGCGCCTCTGGAGAAGGCCACCAGGTGGCGGCAGGAGCTCAGAATCAGGGCTCTGCACGCGCCTGCCAGTCCCCGACGGCCGGCAGGGGTCGCTGCTGCTCCGCCAGGCGGCCCGGAGGTGGGTCAGGTTGGCCAGCTGGACTGGGGAGGCGGGTCAGCCCCCGCTGGGAGTGAGGATGGTCCCAGCCGCTGCGGGCATGGAAGGCTGTGTGACACCCTCGTTCTTTCTCATATGAATCGAACCCGGGACCCTTCAGTCCGCAGGTTGTTGCTCTATCCACTGAGCCAAACCAGCTAGGGCAGCAAGGTCTTTTTTTTTTTTTTAAGTAACAAAAAATGCAGGGTTAACACACTCTTTTAATTTGTTTTTAAACGTGTTTAAGGCTTAAAGTGAAGTTTATCCTTCCTGCTAGGAAGACATTACCTAAACGAATACCCTAATGGCAAACCACTGTGAACTGTTCCGGCTGCACTGGGGGCAGAGGGGAAGGGATTCCCTTCAGAGCTGCCAGCTTCCTGCATGAGGTCAGAGCTCACTGGCTGGTGTTACTGCGGCATCCACTGGGTGATCCAAGTTGCTTTTGCTTCAGCAAGGGCATCACTTGTCAGAAGGTCATTACCCTTGACCTCGTGGCCTGCTGGCTCCCAGGTGCCCCCCTAACCACCCTCCTGCCTGCCTTTCCCCAGTGCCCTCTGTGCCCCCGGAGGCGCTGTGCACACACCTCCTGGCTACTCACACAGCGGACCCGGGTCGGCAGCGTCGACGTCCCTCGGGGCTGGCCCAAAATGCAGAGTCTCAGGCCACACCCAGGACAAGGGAGTCCCCAAGTCCGGTGTGTTTGTGTGTCCTCCCCTGCAGACTGTGAGCTCCTGGAGGGCGGGGGCTGCACCCGCCTCAGGGCCTCCACCTGCAGCCCCAGTGGATCAAAGCTGAAGAGTAGGTGGAGGGAAGTGGAGGCCACAGCGTCAGGGGGAGGGTTTGGGAGGGGGGAGGGCGGAGACCAGCGGGCAGCAGGGGTCTATCCACTTGCAGTTTGGAGGTCTCACGCTCCACTCACTGTAGCCATTGTCCAAGCTGACTCAGGGAGTCTGGGCCCATTTGCGTTTATTTATTAATTTACTAGAGGCCCAGTGCATGACATTCGTGCACTGCAGGGGGGGTCCCCTCGGCCCAGCCTGTGCCCTCTCGGGGAGCGGGCCTAAGCTGGCAGGTGGACATCCCCTGAGGGGTCTTTAGTGCTGCCATGAGCCCGGCTTCTGGTTGAGCAGTGTTCCCCCTGTGGGAGCACACTGACCACCAGGGGGCAGCTCCTGTATTGAGCCCCTGCCCCCTGGTGGTCAGTGTGCGTCATAGCGACTGGTTGTTTTGCTGTTTGGTCGATTTGCATATTAGGGTTTTATTATATAGGACTAGAGGCCCGAAGCATGACATTTGTGCAAGGGGCCTGGCTCTTGCAGCTGCGGCGGCTTCATCTGGAAGGTTGTTCAGCTGTCTGGTCTAATTAGCATATTATACTTTTATTATTTTGGATTATTTTTAAAAATTGTTTTTAATTTATCATTATTATTTTTTCACATTCAATATCATTTTGTGTTAGGTGCCCACCATAGTGGTGAGACAATCTGTATTTTACAGTGTTTCCCTCAATATTTCCAGGACCCGCCAGGCACCATATGTAGTTATTACAATACTATGGACTGTGTTTCCCCCTTTGTATTACTTTGTATTTGCATGCCATCAGCATATCTCTCTGGTGCCTTTCCCGGATTTGGGGAGCCGGTGGACAGGGCAGAGGGCAGGAGTGTTGGGGGAGGCCTTGGGCGGCAGACCCAGGCCCGGCTCCTCCCTGACGTCCATCCTGGGAGCAGGCCTGGGGAGAAGCACTGAGCCCCCTGGGTGAGGAGGGGCCTGTTAGATCCTCCAGGCTCTGGACACTTGCTGTGGGCAAGGCTGGGGCTGGGCTCCCCTCTCCACAGAGCAGGGTTCTCCAGGCAGCGAGAGAATCTTGACGTTGAACAAAAAGACATCAAAGAAGCCCTGGCTGGTTTGGCTCAGTGGATAGTGTGTCAGCCTGTGAACCGAAGGGTCCTGGGTTTGATTCTGGTCAAGGGCACGTACCTCGGTTGCAGGCTCCTCCCTGGATTGGGCCCTGGTCAGGGGCGTGCAGGAGGCAACCAATCAATGTGTTTCTCTCACATCAGTGTTTCTGTCTTTCCTTCTCCCTTCCACTCTAAAAGTCAAGGGAAAAATATTCTCGGGTGAAGATTAAAACACACACACACACACACACACACACCCCTACTTCTTCCAATTAAGGGGGAAAAAAAGCTATGTTATGAGTCTAGTTTTGTAAAGCACAAAAGTGTGCCAAAGGGATCCATGTTGCCAGAGTAGTGGTGACTCCTGCGGGTGGGGGCGGGGGGGGGGGGGCGGCGGAAGGGGAGGGAGGGAGGAAGTTCAGTCCCTGGGAGGGGTGCCTGGGGGAGTGGGGCGGGGGGGGGGGGGGTGGTGGTGGTTTGGGAGGTGCCCAAAGCGTTTTGTGATCTGGGTACTGGTGATACTGGTGGGTTCGCTGTGAAATCCATCCAGTTGTATGGGGATGATTTGTGTATTTTTCTGTTTACAAGTAGAAAGTTGAAAAAGACCAGACCAGAATTTGGAGAGAATCGTAGGCGAATCCCAGGGCTAGGAGACCCTCCCAGGGTCTCTCCTGCCCTCGAGGCTGGAAAGGTCCTGGCTGCTCCGAGTCCCTTCTCCCACTGGGCCCTGAGCTACCTACCGCGGGGCAGGCCCACATCCTGGTCATCCCGGGTCCCCTGGCACGTGACCGGGCCCAGAGCTGAACACACGCGTGGCTCCTGCACACCTTGGGGTGGCCCCGAGGCCCAGGGCACCGAGCAGTCTAGATGGGAGTGTGTCTGCCTGTTAGCTGTGCCCCCACCCGCGGAAGGCTGGCGCTGAAACACCGGCTGTGCCCACGGCTAGAAGTGGGCGAAGGGAGGGGGCGGCAGAAGGTGCCAGAGAGAGAGGTGGGACTCAGGGGTGCCTGGGTGGGTGTGGGGGGCTGCGGACAGCCCGGGACCTCAGCACCCTGGCCTCTTCCCCGGGTGGGCACCTCCTCTTGGCTTGTGCATTCACCCCACCCTGAGGCTGCCGGGTTTCTGCCGAATCCTCACTGCAGACGCAGGGACGGGAGGCCGCAGCCTGGCTCTCGGGACTCGGCCCTGTGCCCGGCTACTCTGGGCCTCCCCGCCCTGAGCCTCCCTCACCCAGTGCTCCCTGACGCCCATCCGAGTGACAGGGACCTGCAGGCCCAGACCCCCCACCCCCACTCCCCCACTGACGGGGACTTGACTTATCGCTCTGGCCTCAGTGTCCATGCTCTGTAGAGAGGGAGGATAATTTTGGCTGTTGTGAGGTCAGACAGTGGGAGGGTGTGGGAGACCTTGGGACCCAGGAGTGTGGGGGGCAAAGGCCTGCTTGGGGGGGTGGGCAGCTAGAGAGGGGCCACCCAGCCCGTCCCCTTCAGCGGGGCGGGGGCCTGCACTGGGGGCAGGTGAGGGGAGGTGTTTCCCAGGGAGGAAGGAGGGGTACTGGGAGCACGGGGGAGCCAGGGCTGGGTTTAGGCTCGCCTTGATGCTGCCTGCAGGCTGTTCCCCCTCTGGGCCTCAGTTTACTGATTTTTAAAAATTAAGTTTGTTTTTGTGAATTGGTTAATAAGATTATACAGGTGTCAAGTGTCCGTTTCTGTGAAACACGAGCTGTAAATTCATTGTGTGCCCACCTCCCCGACTTAGATCATCTGCCACCACCATATAGCTGACCCCCTTTGCCCTTTACTACCCCCACCCGTCAATTTATCTTTTTCCCCCATTTTTAAGACATTTATTGATTGGGGGGGGGGGGGGAAGAAGGGAGAGGGAGAGAGAGAGAGAGAGAGAGAGAGAGAGAGAGAGAGAGAGAGACATTGATCTGTTGTTTCACTTATTTATGAATTCACCGGTTGCTTCTTGCATGTGCCCTGACTGGGGACGGAACCCACCACCTTGGTGTATCGGGATGATGCTCTAACCGCTGAGCTGCCCGGCCAGGGCTCCCTTTCCCCTTCTGTCCAGGGGTCATTGGGTTCCATTGCCCCTCAGGCCTCAGGCTCCGAAGCTTCTCACGTCCTTGCGCTGTTTGACCTGCAGGGGGTGTTGCTTTGGACTCAGTTTCTACATCTCAGAGATGGGAGTCTCCCCAGCTAAAGGCAGAGTCCAGTTTCCTGAGGACGAGCGAGATCTGGCCATGTGGATCCCACGCTTCCAGGCAGCAAACTGGGGCAGCGGCTCGGGGAAGGGGCCTCCGGGCAGGCCAGCCCCTGCCTACCCCCCACCCCAGCGGCCCGGCGGCCCCGGGGCCCAGCAGCTGGCACCTTTGCGCGGGCAGGAATCTTGCCTCTTGTTTTGCCAACGTAAGACTTGGGAGGGCAGGTCTGGATCCGACTGGCATGAGCTCATGTGTTTAGCCAGAGCAGTGGCCTGGATCTGGGATTTCTGAGAGTGTCCGGAGCCTCTGTTGGGAACGAGAGAGAGTGTTTGCTGGTGGGGAGATGGGTCCCTCCCTGCCATGACCTCCCTCCCCTCCCGCTGCGATGACCCCCATTCCCGCCGTCACACCTGCGACAAGGCCCTTAATGACCAGCTCCTTGCCTCCCCCCGTGCCAAATGCCCACACTCCTTGTGTCCTTTGTGATGTGGCCTGTCCCCTTCCTGTCTTCCCCTGCCATCCCCCCCTAAGACTCAGCTTCTCCCCTCCCCGCCACAAGCACAGGGCCCTCTCAGTGCTGCCGGTGGCCTCCTGTGCCCGCTGTGTGTCCCTGATGCCCGAAAGGGCCTTGGTTCTGCCTCCAGCACTGAGCCAGGCATACAGTAGGTGCTCAATAAATGATCTAATGAGTGAAAGCTGACTTGGGGCTGAGAGGCAGGGGCTGAGGAAGGGAGCTGGGAGGTCACCAGGGGTCAGGCGTGTTCTTTGGGCTGTGGCCTGGCCATTGCTGGGCTGGCAGGGAGACCTCCCTCCCCTCCCTCACCATCCCTGGCCGCAGCCCCGGCTCCTGTACTCAGCTGCTCATTGGCACTCGTGGTGCCAGGCCCGGGCCAGGCCTGCGGAGATGTGTGAGGAGCCCATGTCCAGGGGCTCCCAGCTGAGATTCCCTGCGACGGCCCGCCTCCTCCGCCCCCCAGCTCATGATGGGACAGGAGACCTGGGGATGCCCCTCTGGGACCACCCAGGCCAGCTCCCGACACGGTGCAGCTGGGGAAACTGAGGCCCAGAGCGGGGCGGTGACGTGGCCTGTCTCCTGGGACCCTCTCCCGCATGGTCTGAGCCAGGCTGTGGTGCAGAGTCGGTCCTGGGGGCTAGGACTTTGCAGTGGCTGTCTGGTCGGGGTCCCAGCTCTCCAGCCCCCCATCAGAGCAGCTAGGAGTCCGCCCTGCCCCCAGCACACTCCCTGCACCTGGTGTGTTGCGGAGCCAGCAGAAAGGCGGGCGGGAGGGTGTGGGGTGGGGAACGGGGCAAGTCTGGATGGGCCTGGGAGCTTCAAGCCCCAGCGGGCCCTCCCTGCCCACAGGGCCTGGGAGCGGGAAGTGAGTGTCCACGCCCCAAATCCCCTGCTTTCCCTCCCCACCCACTCACTCCGCCTGGGGCCCAAACAGGGCAGGAAGCCAGTCCCCAGCCTCCCTCCTGGGTAACCGAGTCACAACACCCAACACTAGAGACGGGGTGTCCTGCCAACGCCGCACCCCAACCTGGGCCTGCACGACGCCCTGCCTGCCTGCCTGCCCGCCGTGGGGAAGCCTGGCTGCGGGTGGGGGGAGGCAGGCAGGGGGCAGCAGGGCCCCCCCGCTCCCAAGCTCAGGCCAGCCAGCCTGCTGTCCAGCCACCTTGCCCTGAGTGATCCCCAGCCCCAGACCCTGGGCCCAGGGAGGGTGGGTGTCAGAGGACACGCCTGCTCCGGCTGGGACAGCAGGACTCCTCGCTCCCAGGGTCAGGGTCGGGGCACCACGGGGCGGCCCCAGGATCGGGTGTGGGGGCTGGCCAGGTGGGTGAGCAGGGGGCTGGCCGGGCCTGGGGGGTGAGGTGGCACTGGGGAGGAGGAGGACGGTTTTCCTGGTCTTCACCAGCCTTTGGTTTCCGTGATCCTGGGCTCAGGATTATGGGAAATAGAGAAAGGCAGGTGGGGGCTCAGCCCCTGGGGAGCCCCCAGGCTGAGGGAGAATGGTGGCCCCAGCTTTCTGAGAGCTCCTAGTCTGAGTGGCAAGACACAGCCCCTGTCCTGGGACTTGGAGACATACATCCGTGCTGGGCGACAGAGCCCACGGGGGCACTGAGCTCTGTGGGGAGCACTAGGGGGGGCAGTGCCTCTGTGGCCCTGGGAAAGGTGGGACCCTGGGTCTTTCTGCCTCCTCCCTGCATGGAGCTACCTTCCCAGAGCTGGCAGACCCTCCCCCAAGTGCCCAGGCCTGGTCACTGCTTGCCCAGTGCTTCCCAGTTAAGCAGTAACTGCCCACCACTCAGCCCTGCACTGCGAGATGGACCTGCCACCGGTCCCTTTTACAGACGAGGACACTGAGGCCAGAGTGGAGAGGTGGTCTGTGCTGGAGGCTCAGGCCAGGGGTCCTCAAACTACGGCCCGCGGGCCACCTGCAAATACAAATATTGTATTTGTTCCTGTTTTGTTTTTTTACTTCAAAATAAGATATGTGCCGTGTGCATAGGAATTTGTTCATAGTTTTTTTTTAAAACTATAGTCCGGCCCTCCGACGGTCTGAGGGACAGTGAATTGGCCCCCTGTTTAAAAAGTCTGAGGACCCCTGGTCGGGTCCTGCGGGCCAGGTCACCGTGTTCAGAGCACCCAGTTCTCCTGATATTTGAGGCGATCCGCTGTGAGCAGACCCTGCAGTGCAGGAGAAGGTCAAGTTCCCCGGCTTCCCTGCTGTTCCCCCCAGTCCTGAGGCCCCTCGGTCAGGCCTGTCCCCTGCTTCCCTCCCCAGTGGGCGGGCGGGGCCCGGGGAGGCTGGTCTTGCTGAGGCTGCAGCTTCGCGGCCCACCCAGGCTGAGTCAGGCGGGCGGGAGCCAGCGGGGTGGCAGCTTTCCCAGGCCAGCCCGGGCAGGCGGCAGGCGGGGCCCACATTCCTCACCCACTGGGTGAGTCTGGGCTGGGCCCGGCCAGGTGTATGGGCCCCGCCCGGGCGGCGACCGCGCCAGCTCAGCGCCTGGCCTTGTAAGGAACTTGCCTGGCAGCCGCCAGGAATGGGTGTGGGAACTGCTTGCCTTGCAAGTCCTCGTTGGGTGGGGTGCAGCCTGGGAGGCGGGGGCCGCCTGCTGGAGCCCCCGTCCCCACAATGGCCTGGGCAGTGGGGGCACCCCTGCTCACCCCCTCCTCGTGCCCCCCGCCCTTGTACCCCCCTTTGCCTCTGCGCTTGGAAAGCCACCGGAGGCTGAAGCTTAACACAGGCTGTGGATGGAGCCTGGGTCTTGCTCGTGACTCAGCAAACGTTGGCTGGTGGGAGCGTGAAGGGTGGTCTGGGGGGGAGGGGGGCGAGGCCAGGGAGCAGCAGGGGGCACCTGTTTGTTGTCCTTAGTCTCTCAGGGAGGTCTTTGTCCTCCCCAGCTTGGAGCTCTGGGTGCCCAGTGGAGCCTGGGACAGAAGTGTTGCGTGGGGCCGTGTGCCCATGGGGCCACCTGCTCTGTGGGCAGCTGCTAACCACTGGTCCCCCTGGCCCTGCTTTCTCCACCCCCGGCCCGGGGCTCTCTGCATTGATGTCAAGGGCTAGGAAGGACCGATGTTCGGTTGGCCAAGGTCAGTCCTTACCACTTGTAAAGCCTACCCACCTCCTTCCCCCCTGTGGGCCTCAGTTTCCCCGCCTGTGAAAGGAGGACGGGCGCCCCCACCTGCCAAGGCCCCTGGGCTCTTGGTGGATGACATGGGACCTTGAGGTTGAGCAATTGCTTTGGGGCCTGAGATGGGCTGTGCTGGGATCCCACTGGGGACCCCCGGCCTATGTTAGCCCTGCAGCTTCCCCATCAGCCTCTACAGTCAGGCCAGGCTCCTGGCTGGGGCTGGGGAGGGCGCCTCCATCTGGGAATTGGGGACTGTGCCCACTGTTCACCCTCTTCCCTCCCCTGGCCTCCCCGTCACCCTCCTCTGTGGCCTCCTCAGCAGGTTTGAGGTCTGCCTGGCCCCTTCATCACCCCCAGTGGCAGGCAGGGCCCGGCTGTGTCTTGGGCGGGCCCCGGGCAGCTTGGGCTGCAGGAATCCTGTCCCCGGCCTCGGTGGGAACACACCGGCACTGGCCCTGGGCCCAGGGTTGGCGTGGGAATCCTGTGCTGCATGGCAGGTCAGGAAGGGTGGCACCAGGGCTGTGGGAGGAGAGGCTGAGAGACGAGCTGAGTGGGGACCCCGTACCTGTGAGGGGCGGTGGGCTGAGCTCCCGGCGCCAGGGAGCCTGGGTCAGGAGAGGGGAGCAGAGCAGGTGTGGCCCGGGCTGGCAGCCCATCACGGGGCAGCGGTCTGCAGGCCTGGCCTGGGAGGCATCAGGCTGGGGCAGGGACCGCTCAGCACTCCCTTCCCAGCCTTTTCTGGCTGAGCCCTAGGGGTGTCCTTCTGGGGTGACCCTGTTCCCAGCCCCCCTCTAGGGCAGCGATGGCGAACCTTTTGAGCTCGGCATCCCAGCATTTTGAAAAACCCTAACTTAACTCTGGTGCCGTGTCACATAGAAATTTTTTGATAATTGCAACCACAGTAAAACAAAGACATATTTTTGGTATTTATTTTATATATTTAAATGCCATTTAACAAAGAAAAATCAACCAAAAAAAAAAAAATGAGTTCACGTGTCATAGGTTCGCCATCACTGCTCTAGGGCCTGTGGCTGCCATTCCTCCTCCCCTGCTCAGGGGCTGTGTGAGTGTGAATGTGCACGAGTGTGCCCTGGGGTAGCTCTGTGTGCGGTGGAAGGAAGTGCCTTGGCCCAGTGGTCCCAGTGAGCTAGCCAATCATGGTTCAGTGTGTGAGTGTGTGTGTGTGTAAGAGAGTATGTGTGTGAGTGCGTGTGTGTGAGTGCGTGTGTGTGTGTGTGAGAGTGTGTGTGAGTGAGTGCGTGTGTGTGTGTGTGAGTGTGTGTGAGAGTGTGTGTGTGTGTGAGTGTGTGTGAGTGCGTGTGTGAGTGTGAGTGAGTGCGTGTGTGAGTGTGAGTGAGTGCGTGTGTGAGTGTGAGTGTGTGAGTGCGTGTGTGAGTGTGAGTGAGTGCGTGTGTGAGTGTGTGAGTGAGTGCGTGTGTGTGTGTGAGTGTGTGTGAGAGAGTGTGTGTGTGAGTGTGTGAGTGAGTGCATGTGTGAGTGTGAGTGTGTGTGTGTGTGAGTGAGTGCGTGTGTGAGTGTGAGTGTGTGAGTGCGTGTGTGAGTGTGAGTGAGTGTGTGTGTGCGTGTGTGAGTGTGAGTGAGTGTGTGCGTGCGTGTGTGCGTGCGTGTGTGAGTGTGTGTGAGTGTGTGTGAGTGTGTGAGTGAGTGCGTGTGTGAGTGTGAGTGAGTGTGTGTGCGCGTGTGTGAGTGTGAGTGTATGTGTGAGTGAGTGTGTGTGCGTGTGTGTGTGTGAGCGTGTGTGTGTGAGTGAGTGCGTGTGTGAGTGTGAGTGAGTGTGTGTGCGTGTGTGTGTGTGAGTGCGTGTGTGTGAGTGCGTGTGTGTGTGAGTGCGTGTGTGTGTGTGAGCGTGTGTGTGTGAGTGTGTGTGTGTGAGTGTGTGTGTGAGTGTGAGTGAGTGTGAGTGTGTGAGTGAGTGTGAGTGTATGTGAGAGTGTGTGTGTGAGTGTGAGTGAGTGTGTGTGCGTGTGTGTGTGTGTTGTGGGAGGCCAGTGTTCCCGTGGAGGTGGGCTTCTGGACATTCAGACCAGGTCCCTGTCGTTGGCTTCTGACCCCTGAAGGATTCTGGGAGGTGGCACTGAGAGCCAGGCGCAGGGCAGCCTGGGAAATCGTGGGAACAGGTGCGAACAGGCTGGAAGGTGCGGCAGCAGCTGGAATGTGTGGGCAGGAGCAGCCCCGCCTTCCCTCAGCCAGGAATGAGCCAGGGCCCGGTGCCCGCCCCGCTGCCTCCGGCTCTGCCCTGCCAGCTCCCAGCCCCTCTCCCCCCTGTGGGGCGCCCCTCGCTGGGCTCCCGCCACGGCCCAGCTGGGGAGGCTGTTTGGGGAAGCGGGCCCCTTCCCTGAAGGCGCCCAGGCTCTCGGTGCCGTGTGCCTGTCTGACCCTTGGCGCAGACGACCGCTGTCACTCGCGGGGGACTCCCCTGTCGCGCCAGGAAGCACGCGGCTGCAGCCTGTCCAGCGGTGGGGTTGCTGGGCCAGCTCTGTCCTGGGGTGGGGCCGGGGCTGCAGGACACAGGCTGTAGCCTCTGCAGAGTGGCTTTGTCCTCTGTCCTGCACAGCTGACCGGGGCGCCCGGTGGCCTTCAGGAGAAAGGCCGCCGTCCTGAGCACAGACATCCAGGGCCTTCCCCGGGGGCCCCTGCCGGCCTCTCCGGCCCAGCTCCCACCTCTCTCCCCAGCCAACTCCCCTCACCTGCCCGTCTCGCTCTTCCCCGAGGGTGCAGGCCCGGTGCCGCCCGGCCTTTGCCTATGCCAGTCACTGTGCCCCTATGTGTGCAGGTCCCTGCTCAGACCCCTTCCCCTGTCCTGACTCCTGGGCGGCCAGGACCCCGATGAGGAGCCCCCACAGCCTGCGTGCTGGGCAACCACGCTGCCCTCCCCACTCAGTCAGCCGGTGGGGGCCAGGCGTCTCCCTGGGCAGAGCTCCCCAAGATCTGGTGGGTGTCCCTGGCATGTCCCTCCCTCGTGTAGGTCAGGGAGTGAGAGAATACACTAATGACCCAGGGGAGGGAGTTTGGGGAATTCCTCCGAGGCCTGCGGACTAGCAAAGGGCTGTCACGTGAGCCGGGCCCCCCGCTTCTGCTTCCTCTGGTCTGAGCAGAAACGCCCCTCTGCCTTGGGGTGGGGGTTTCCTGGGAAGATTCCAGAAATCTCTCTCTGGGTCAGAGATGGGTACAAGCTCCTTCTCTCCCCTGTGAGGACTCAGGGTTCATGGGCTGGTGTGTGAGTGGCCAGGGCTGCCCTGAGAGAGTGTGTGAAGTTTGTGTAGTGAGAGGCTGTGTGAGTGTGCACACGTGTGTCCATGAGTGTGTGAAAGTGTGAGTGTGTGAATGTGTATTTAAACACAAGGCTGGGCAAGTCTGTATGGGTGTGTGAGTGTGGCTGTGAGTGTGTGTGTGGGTTGGTGAGTGTGAGTGGGTGTCTGTGTGAGTGTGTGTGAGCCGACTGCGTGTGTATGAGACTCTGTGGAGGTGAATGTAAGTGTGTATGAATCTATGAGCACGTGTGAGTATGTGTACATGTGATTATGTGGGGGGGGGGCGGGTCTCTGACGGTCTATGAGGGTGACTGTGAGAACCGTGAGTGTGAACGTGGGTGTCTGAGTGCATGAGTGTGCGTGCGAGCTGTGTGCAAATGTGTGGCTTACCCTGGAGGAGGGCTGACTGGAACCCAGGGCTGTCGAAGCAGCTTGGCCGTCCCCTGCCCAAGGCCATGGCCAAACCCAGGGGACCCGCCCCGCCCAGGGCTCCGTTGGCTGCAGGTGAGCTTGCTCAGAGGGGTGAGCGGTCTTTCCTGTCCCAGAGGCAATTCTTCATGAAGCAAAAAAGCAATACCGAATAGACCCAACGTAACACCTGTAACATGTGTAGGATTGCAGAGCTAAGATACAGCAGACTCCCATGAACTCACCTCCCAATCTTAGAGACCCGAGGAGGCCCTGCCCAGCCACCCCTCCCCTTGCAGTGTCAGCAGGAGCCTGGGTGGGGGGTTGCCATTCCCTTGCTTTCTCGGTGGATCTGCAGCCCTTGTCGCCAGGCCTGTGGCTGCCAGCATCTGCGAGACACAGATCTCTTCCCGTCAAGTGGCTGGCAGGGCCAGAGCGGCTCGGTGCTGCCCTCTGGGGGCGCGGGCACGGCTTCTCCCTGCATTGCTCCGTGCGGTGCACAGCCACCCGGCTAGGAGCCGGGCCGGGGGGACCCTGCTGGGCCCCCACAGAGGTGGACCCACCCACGGTGCAAGGCACACAGGGCACACCTCCACGCCGACGTGCACGTGGGCGCGCACAGAGGCGTTCACATGGACGCGTTCCATCCATGGGGAACCGAGTGGGTGCCATGCTCTGTGGGCGCCCCACAGGAGCCGGCCTGTCCCTGGGAGTTGGCAGCAGGAGGGGGTGGTCGCCCCCGATGGGCAGTGCCCTTCCTCAGCGACACTCACATTTAGGGTGGGGAAAGGCTGTTTAAGGCGGCGGACTTCGGGGTGAGCAGTTTACTAGAATAACCTAAGGTGAGGGGCAGGGAGGAGAGCTTTGTGCCAGACAGGACAGGGGGTTGTTTTTCTTAGATCGAGAAGGGGGAGGGAGGGGGCGGGGTGATGGCAGGGGCTGGGGTGGGGAGGGGGGCGCGGAGAGGCATGATGTAATGCACAGGCCAGCTCCAGAAAGGACTTCTGTGTCTGCCGGCCTGGGGCAGGGCAATGAACACGATGGCCCAGCCTGGCTCCCTGGGGCTGTGGGACTCACTGGAATAAAGGGGGGGAGGGGGCTGCAGGTGGCAGGAGAAGTCAGACCCCTGGAGAAGGGGCAGGTGCGAAAAGCAAGTGGAGGATGTCTTGTCCCCAGGCCCCGGGATGCCTCCCGGAAGTGCAGAGCAGAGGTGCAGGACCCGGGGAGGCCAGCAGAGGGCGCTCCCGGCACAGATTTGAGGCACCTGCCAATGTGCTGGCTGCTGGGATTTCATCCGCGCATCATTCTTGGAAAGCGCAGAGGCCTCTGGCTTCACCCCTGGGAGCTACTGAGCTTAGGAGGTGAAGAGAGACATCTATGAGGTGGGGGATGGGGTGGGGTGGGGCAGAGCGTCCTCTTCCTCCCCTTCTCCTTCTCCCTGGCCAGGCAGTGCCTGGTCAGTGTCTCCATCCTCTGTCTCCAGGTGGTGGCCTCAGAACCACCTCCGGAAATGGGACCGGCCACCTGCCCTGCTCTGGGGGTGCTCCCTGGGCGCTAGGGTGTGTCAGGGCCAGCAGCCTCTCTGTAAAGCCCCCCAGGTCCCAGCTCCAGGGATCTGCCCGCCCTTCTCCTGAGCTCCCTGCCTCCCTGCTTCCCTCGCTCACCTCTAGGTGGAGGATTTCTGTGGATTCTAGAGTTCTCGGGACCAGACGCAGCCTGTCTTCGGCCACAAGGATTACAGGCTTCCAGGGGGCGGCTGGTGGACACAGCCAGGTCCAGCCCAGACACCATGTGGCCAACCCCTTGAGGTCAACTCCTTGAGGGAGAGGGTGGAATCATGGAGGGAAAAGTCCCTTCCGCTGTGAATGCCCCTTCCACCTCCTGGCATTTCCACCCAGGCCGAGGCACCTCGCACCATCCACTTTTCATTGGTTTCTAGTTATGGAGCACCGTTGCTCTCGCTCTGTCTTTGGGGACATGTCTAGAGGAGGTGACAGGTAAACAGATGTGATGACACAGGGTGCTAAGTGCTTTGAGAGCAGTGG